TCTTTCACTGGAGATTATGAAACCACCTCATATTATTTCGCCACCGTGTGTCTGGGGCCACAGAATATGTTTCCCATCCTTGCCCCAACTAGGGAGCTCATCTGGCAATAAATAACAGAAAAACAACCAGCAGTTACTTAAGCAAACGGAGAAGTCCAGAGTTTGCTCTCCCCAACTTTACGCAACGGCTGCCTGTTAGCTGATGCACGCCTCCACACACTTCCATGTTTTGAAATCGCAGGGCAAACAGACCCTCACCCTTTCTTTATTTGTCAACCGTGGGGCTTGAACTCTGGGCCTGGGCTCTGTCCCTCAGCTCTTCAGCTCAAGCCTGGCACTCTACCACCTAAGCCTCAGCACCACTTCTAGCTTTTGGGGGCTGCTTAATTGGAAATAAGAAGTCTCACACACTTTCCTGCCTGGGCTGGCCTCAAACCACGATCCTCAGATCTCAGCCTCCTGAGCTGCTAAGATGACAGGCGTGAGCCACAGGTGCCTGGATCTGAGAAACATTTCGATGAAAACAATCAAAGCAATATGAACCATAAATGTGAAGTAAAATACGCTCTGAGAACTTAATCCAGCCAGGCACCAATGGCTCCCACCTGTCATCCCAGCTCCTCAGGAGGCTGAGATTTGAGGATCAAGGTTCAAAGCCAGCCCAGGCAGGAAAGTCCATGAGACTCTTTTCTCCAATAATCTACTCAGAAAAAGCCAGAAGTGGTGCTGTGGCTCAAGTGGTAGAGCACTAGCCTCACTAGCCTTGAGCAAAAGAAGTTCAGGAACAGCGCCCAGACCTGGAATTCAAAATGACATGAAAAGAAAAGAGAGAGAGAGAGAGAGAGGGGGAGGGAGGGATAAAGGGAGGGAGGGAGGGAAGAAGGGAAGGAAGGAAGGAAGGAAGGAAGGAAGGAAGGAATTTGCCTAGGCTGCTTTAAACTGTGACCCTGGAGATCTCAATCTCCTGAGTAGCCAGGATTATAGGCATGTGCTACTGGCCCAGGACTTGAGCTAGCTAATGTTTGAAGGTGGTTAATATGAACCAGATAGGGTCTGGGAAGGTGGCTCAGTGGTAGAGCACTTGCCTTGCATGCATGAGGCCCTGGGTTCGATTCCTCAGCACCACATAAGCAAAAAAAAAGCCAGAAATGGCGCTGTGGCTCAAGTGGTAGAGCGCTAGCCTTGAGCTGAAGAGCTCAGAGACAGCGCCCAGGCCCAGAGTTCAGGCCCCATGACCGGACCCCCCAAAAAAAACATATGAACCAAATAAATATGTTTCCCCCACAAACAGGAAACACAGGGAAAGTGAACTAAACACACAATTAGTACAGTGGCGTAAGTACTAATTGTTCAATTAGTACAAGTGCAGAAGTTACGATCTGTCCATCACAGGAACTATTGCAATACAAAGGTTTTCTTATTTATTTTTCTAAGGTCTTCCTACCTTGTAATCTTCCCTTTGTTCAATTCCCAAATATTTCTCATTGGTTATTAATGTCATGGGGTTTTCTCCTCCCTGTATTTTGATTGCCTTTTCCCCCTTTTTTCCCCTTTCTACCTCTTTTTCTTTTACATTTTCTTTTAAAAAAAATTATGGGCCTACCACTTTGCTTGGCTTCCTAGCTGGTGCTCTACCACCTGAGCCAGGCTCCCAGCCTAGTTTTTTGCTGGTTAACCGGAAATAAGCGTCGTTCAGACTTTTTTAGCCCCTGCTGTTTTTAGATATTGAGTCTTATCATTTCCTCCTTTTGCAAGAAATGTTGGGAAACCTGTTCCTGGGTCTTTTACTTCCTTTTCAACAAGGAAATCTAGTTTTATGTAGGCGTTGAAAGACCCCAATCTCAATGTACTTGTCTCTAAATCCAGCCAAGAAACTGTGAGACTATAAATGATATTACAGGTATTGATAAGAGCAGCCTGGAATTGAATAGCACCAATCCATAGATCGATCATCTTCACAATTTATGAGGAATCAAACAAACATCATTTGCAGCATTACCTTCCTAATTTAAGTCATTAATCTAATCCCAGCTGCTCAGAAGGCTGAGATCTGAGGATCCTGGTTCAAAGCCAGCCTGGGCAAGAAAGTCCCTAAGACTCTTATTGTCAATGAACCATCAGAAAACCAGAAGTGGCACTGTGGCTCAAGTGGTAGAGAGCTAGTCTTGAGCAAAAGAGCTCAGAAACTGTACCCAGGCCCTGAGTTCAAATCCCACAACCAACAACCAACAAAAAGCTCAAGGAGAAGCACCAAGCCCCAGTACTGAACTCTTCCCGATTCTTTCACTATTCTTTTCTTTGAATTTAACATTTAAATTTAAATCAATATATTATGAAATCATACAATCATTTGTCATTGTTTTCTTTATTTTGTATGCTATTAACAAGTTCAGACCTCAAAGCTGGCAAAAATAAGCTGGAAAGTAGAGCTGTGGTTCAAATGGTAGAGCACCAGCTTTGAGCAAAAAAAGCTAAGGGACAGCACCAGGCTCTGAGTTCAAGCCCGAGACAGGCACAATTTATTTTCTACTTGAAATTCTGTTACGCTTTGAATTAATCTATCATGAAATTATACAATCATGTGGAATGTTTTCTGTATTTTGTATGCCAGTAGCAAGTCTCTGACCTAGTAAAAAACCTTCCATTGATGATTCTTTTGTTAAAATGTTGTCTTGGCCAGGTGCTGGTGGCTCCCGCCTGTCATCCCAGCTACTCAGGAGGCTGAGATCGGAGGATCAGAGTTCAAAACCAGCCCGTGCAGGAAAGTCTGTAAGACTCTTATCTCCAATGAAACAGTAAAAAGCCAGAAGTGGAGCTGTGGTTCAAGTGATAGAGCACCAGCCTTGAGTGGAAAAGCCCAGGAATAGCACCCAGGCCCTGAGTTCAAGTCCCAGGCCTGGCAAGAAAAAAGAAATGTGAGTATATTTAACTAACTTATGAAAAGGGTCTCCCAACTTGTGTCTGTGTTCCTCTGCTTTTTTGGAAGTATAGTATGTCTCTTCTACAAGCAAAAATGTTCAACTTCCTAGGAATATTAATATTTAACTAGTTCTCAAAATTCCCCCCCCCCAACCATAGTCCAACCGCGTCCCTCCTGACATGCCTGCTGCCCAGCTGGTTTCCTGGGTTATTCCCGCCATCAAAATAGCACAACCCCTCCACAGCCAGCTGGAACACGTCCATTCTCATTTCCTGGAACTGTAGCTCTCAAGTACAAGCCTGCAGCCTTTGGACAATCTTCAGCCTTTCCCTCCGCTCCCACTCAGCCCTGCCCGGCTTCCAGATTTGCTTCTTCCCCCTCAGGCCCATTTTCTACATTCCATCACTTCATGAAAAAAAACAAATACAAAAAACCCACAAATCTGAAGCTCGACCCTGCACCAAAACAGCTTCATCTTGCCAAATGCCTCTCTGCTTGGAAGCCAGATTTCATCATCATATTCATAAGCGATTCACTTGTGTTTTGTTCTGTGGTCGGTGGTGGGACTTGAACTCAGGGCCTGGGCGCTGTCCCTCAGCTCTTCAGCTCCAGGCTGGTGCTCTATCACTTGAGCCACAGCACTACTTCCTGTCTTCTGGTGGTTCCTTGGAGATCAGAGGCCCCTGGACTTTCCTGCCCAGGCCGGCTTCGAACCCTGATCCTCAGCTCTCAGCCTCCTGAGTAGCTGGGATGACAGGCGGGAGCTACCCAGCGCCCAGCTCAATTCGGTCACACCAAGGATCCTCCAGGAAGAGTCTTCCCTGAGCTTTACTTTGCACACTTCATTCCCTAATTTGCCATCTTCCCACCAAGCCTTTGTCTTCAGGCTGTCATTCATATTTTAGAGAATTTATGTGCATAAATTCTCCCATAGTTCCTCACAGGGACAAGTCTGGATTGTGTCCCCTTCCTCTGGCCTTAGGACATCCTAAGCTTCTCTAGTACAAATGTTTGTCTAGCCGGGTGCTGGTGCGCACGCCTGTAATCCCAGCTACTCACCAGGCTGAGATCTGAGGATCACAGCTCAAAGCCAGCCCGGACAGGAAAGTCCAGGAGACTCTTATCTCCAATGAACCAGCAGAAAATGAGAGGTGGAGCTGTGGCTCAAGCACTAGAGCACCAACCTGGAGCACCAAAGTTCAGGGACAGCTCCCAGGCCCCGAGTTCAAGCCCCAGGACTGGCACCAAAGAAGAAGAAGAAGGGGGGAAAATTCATCTAGTTCTTCAGCTTAGATTGTTTTTTCTGGTTTGTTTCATTTTCTTTGTGCAAGGCCTCATGTTCTTGCTTGTTCTGTTTTGTGTTTTGTTTTTCTCAAGGTTGCTGCTCTACTATTTGAGCCACGCCTTCAAATCTGGCTTTTTGCTAGTTCACTGGAGATGAGAGTTTCACAGCCTTTCCTGCCCGGACTGGCTTCAAACTGCAATCCTCAGATCTCAGCCGCCAGAGTAGCTGGGATTACAGGCGTGAGCCACCAGTGCCTAGCTTTTGCTCTGTTTTTCATCCACATAAAAAGCAAGCATTTCCCGTGTGTATCTGTCTTTACTAGTTTGGACATTCTTTCTAAGAGCTTGTATGGTGTCCAGCTCTAATCAGATCCACACATAGTTACACAATAACCAAATGATTGCTGGGAATTTATTGATGGGCAGTTGAATTATTAAGCTGTTTTAGGAGTTAAAGACAGGACAGAAAAATCATGATTAGAAAGCAGGAAGGAAACGTGTTTCTATACGACAGAGAACAATAATAGAAAGGGTGACAGTGTTCAAGATGTACAGTAGCTCACGCCTGTAATCCCAGCTACTCAGGAGGCTGAGATCTGAGGATCTTGGTTCCAAGCCAGGTTGGGTAAGAAAGTCCGTGAGACTCTTATCTCCCATTAAGCAGCAAAAAGCCGGAAGTAGAGCTGTGGCTCAAGTGGTAGAGCCCCAGCCTTGAATGAAAAAGCTAAGGGACAGCACCCAGGTACTGAGTTCAAGTCCCAGTCGTGGTGCAAACAACAGCAGCAAAAAAGATGCATTGGACTTACAAACTGAAACCCCTTTGAACAACTACTTAAAGACAATAACAAACAAATAAATGAACATTAGGAAAAAAAAAAAAAACATTTATTACAAAAGAAAAAGCTAGGCCCTGGTGGCTCACGCCTGTAATCCGCACAGCAGGAGGCTGAGATCGGAGGATCGCAGTTCAAAGCCAGCCCAGGCAGACAAGTCTTGTGAGACTCTTATTTCCAAAGCACCAGCAAAAAAAAAAAAAAAAAAAGCCAGCGGTGGCAGGTGCAGCCAGATGTGAAGGGTCCCAAAAGAAATGTACGCCTTACCTGATTTAGGTAACAACCACGTTTCAAAGGGCACAAAAACGGTTTTTTTTGGATCTGCTGGAGGCTGGGCCTCAGGGGTGAAAATTCTCTTTATTTTGAGTCTTTTTGGGGGGTCCATTTGGGGATTCCCCCCGCCAAAGAACAAACCTGCCTATTTTTCTTTTTAAGAGGGAAACTTAGGTAGGGCTGGCAAAGCTGATTAGCTCCTTTAGTGGACAAAAGACAAATCCACAATAAAAACAAACAACCCGCAAGGAAATCAGCATTACCAGGAAGCAAAGTTGGATTCCCCCAAGAATCTGGGTCTCTGGCCAGAAACTAACCTTTGCTTGTCACCCATGACCCCTTGCAGAGACCTTGGCTGGAAGAAATCCTGTGGGTGGAACTTTCTGTTTGTCTACAGGACAGGCATAAAACCCAGCTGCTCCCCCCTGGAGAGCTTTGGGGAGCAGATTATTCTCAGGGAGAGAGACCACAAGGCACGCTGTGTCTTCTGGATCTTTCCACAGCATGGGGAGCTACAAACTTCTTCCCTCCAGTCTGATTTTCTTCCTCCTGTTTCTTGTCCCCACCAAGGCCTCCACGCCTGCGCAACCGTGAGTTTCCCCCTTTGCAAGATTTCTCCTGGAAGCTGGGATTCTCCACGTTCTTTTTCTTTCCTGTACTGCTTTGCTTTTTGCCTAGGATGTATTTGGAGGTTGGTGTTTTGGTTCTTTTTATTTTTCCTCTCTTGAAAGACTGGCCACCTCTCCCCGCCTCTCCCCTCAACCTCTGCAATTGCTTTGCAAACAATTATCATCTGCATTTCTCCCTGGATCTCTGACTGTCCAAACTGTAAACAGATTTCTAAAGACAAGCTAGAGGAATCCATGTTCAGATTCTCAGGTTTCTAAAGCTCTGTTAAGATCCCGTGCTTTGGGCTGGGCAGGTGGCTCAGTGGTAAGTGCTCACCTCGTAGGCATGAAGCCCTGGGTTCGATTCCTCAGTCCCACATGCACAGAAAAAAAGCTGGAAGTGGTGGTGTGGCTCAAGGGGTAGAGCGCTAGCCTTGAGCCAAAGGAGCTCAGGGACAGCGCCAGGCCCTGAGTTCAAGCCCCAGGACCAGTAAAAAGATCATATGTTTAGCCTTTCCTATCTACCTTTCTTAGTTGTCTATGGTATAGTTCATTCTCTCTCTCTCTCTCTCATTGTATATTTACCATAGAACTGCTATAAAAAAAATGAGCAAATGAGAGCTCAATTTTAAATGCTGATGCCAAAACTAACACAATTAAAGGAGTCTAAGAATAGAAGAGAAAACTCTTTTGCAGATCAAATGGTGATTAATACAATTGTAGCAAAAAAAAATCAGGGTTCGATCAGCAAATAGATCATTAGAAGCAATTCTTGATAACACAGTACTGGGTGATTTAGGGCAGGGAACACAAACAGAGATCAAAGAAGTGATGGAAATGACACCACTTTTATTTGACATTTATTTGGCACAAGCATTTATTTTTTTTTTT